AGAGCCTCTATAACAGCCTTTTCCTTTTTAAGAGCTTCTATCTCGCCTTCTTTTTCCTTTTTAAGAGCCTCTATATCAGATTCTTTTGATAAGATAGCCTCATCCTTTTCTTTTTGAATCTTAAGAGTCTCTTCTTCATGAGCCTTTTTCAAATTATCTAAAATGTTGTCTTGCGGTTTAACAGACTCATCAATTTCATTTCTTTTTGCCAGTTGAACCTTAAGTTCTTTCAATTCTCCTTAACAGGATTTCAGCACCTTATCTTATCTTTTTCTTCAATCAGATGAGTGAGCTCTTCGGCTTAATAATAAAATGAAAAGTGAAGATTAATTATATTTAAAACATGAAAAAAAGCCGTAAATATGTAGTGATTAAACCAACCTTTTCTTTGTAACCTTCATCTACTGAAGCACCATTTTTCAACCCATTTTCATTTAGAATAGCTGAATCAGTACTTTTAGAAGCAGTATATTTGGTCGAGATCGTTGCAGATGGTAAAATTTTGTTCTTTGAAGTAGGTGTCAAAGTGTTTGTTACCTTAGCAGAAGGAGTAGTGCCTGCAGCAGAAATTTTTTTGGAGAGGCAGTAGGAACAGAACTACTTTAATTTGTGATGTGATCTTTTCTTTAACCACTTGTTCCACTAATTTGTTAGCGATTTTTGATATCCAAGTATCTCTAGCATCTTGTTCATACCAATAAATGGTATTTTCTGGTGTCAAAATTAATTTTAAAGACTCTTTATCAGATAGTTTTATGAGAAATTGGATGAATCTATATAATAAAAAAAATTTTTTTAAAAAAAAGTATATGTTAAATAAAAAGTAAATTAATAATAATATAAAAGATATAAATAAAGAAATAAAAGATTTGAAAAAATAAGAAAGGGAAAAAATAGATCATTATATACTTTTTTTCATTAACACGTATCTATTATGTGTTTGTTTTGAGATCTGCAAATACATGCTTTTTGTAATGATCGTAGCCATATATAAAACTTCGATTTTTAATATGTAAATCGGCCTTTGCATAATAAGTAAAGTTGTTTAGGATAGCAATTTAAATATAATTTAAAAAATTTTTAAAGTTTAAATAAGGTTTTTAGTAGGCCGTTTTAGCATTTTAAACTTATGTAAACAAAATAATAAATAAAATAAATAAAACTTTTATATGGAGACGTATTCTTAAACTATATTAATAATATTAGTTAGAGTTTTAATAAAAATTGTTCTTCAAATCTTAAAATAGATAGGATCAAATTTTTATATCAAAATATTACTTACAGATTATTGTTTTTAATTAAATATTTTTATCTTAAAAGTTTTGTATAATATAACATTATAAAATTTATAATAATAATTTTTTTTTTTTTTTTGTTAAAAGCAGCTTATATTGTCGAAGGAATTTTATTAGAGTTGCAAACAGGATTATACATTAATAATCCCTACTGTTTATAATTACATGAAGAGTATATAGGAATGTCTACAGCAAAAGGGGGGATGGGACTATATATTATATAGTTTCATTCTTCTCTTTTGCTATGAGTATTCTCATATCAAGCTACATGTACAACTTTAATCATTATCTATTTTAAGTAGTTCACTGCATAGGTATTAGGTTATCTAATTAGTTCTATACTATACTGCTATACCTATAATCTGCTTGTGAGTTATTTATTTAAATACTCTGTTCATTAATTTATACAGATCCAATCTAATATTATTACAACACCTAACTACTTAAGCTAGTTAGCTTGTTATAAATTTATTTATTCAGAATGACTTAGATCTTTTCAGAATATATTATACCAGACATATTGCTAGTATTGTAGAGCTAGTTAACCTTGAAGCAATTCTACTAAAGCAATTCATATTTATTTTATGAATTTACCTAGTTTAGATTTTTGTAGATATTTATACAATCTTGGGTTCTACTATAGTCCTCTACTAGTTAGTTAATCTAGTTTTTTTTTTGTATCTAGCTAGTCCTAGTTATTCTTTATCCAGAGACCTCAAAACTTTCTACCTTTATTAGACTGAGTTTTTTTCTCAGATTAGACTTTAGTGATATAGTTCTGTTAGAATTTTGTATTACTTTACTGACTCAAGATTTTTACTATGCAGATCTTCTACTTGTATATTCTATTTTTTTTTTTCTTTGACAGTTACGCTTTATACATTTATTAGATAAAGAGTTACAGATAGCTAGTCTGCATAAGATTTAACTTAATACAAGAACTTATAGTTTCTCTCTATATATCTAATTTCCTAATAGAAAGCACTACTCAATACTCTATTTGTATACATGCCCAAATATAATCTGTTATACTAAAAACCTTTTTAACATAAAGAAAAAGAGAAGTCTAGACAATTTTGTCTGACTGTCTAGGAAAACAGACATGATAAAAGTAAAATAAAATTGTTATATATAGTGAAAAGCAAGGCCACATACTACATATAACATTCAAAGCAAAGTTAGAAAAATTGCTAACAAGATAAAAACCTAACAAGCTAAAAATAAAAAGAACAAAACAAAAAACAAAAAGAAAAGAAAAAGAAAATAAAAGGCATTTCATAAGAATCATAACCTAAATATATAATCCTATCTAAGACTGGGTAGTTAAAAATTATAAATGCAAAATACACTTATTTGCAAATATCTCTAATATTTGATAACAATTTAGTTATTTTATCAAACATATGATAGCTCATTATTATTGCAATAAGCTCATAGTTTATATTGCAAAATAAAATCATGTGTTTGTTGTGCTAACTTCAAAATATATACATATTTGTTATTATTATACTATAAGCCTATTTCCAAATTCGTTAATGATATATATGCTGATCTTTGGTAGAGGATGAGCTCTATTCTTCACTTTTTGTACAAAAAATACTCCAAGTTCACCAAATGGTCGAAACTGTTCCTAAAACTAAACAATGGTTTAAAAGTAAGAGTAAGAATATCTAAAATAAACTTGAAAAGTATAAGAAGTAATATTATACTCAACTCTATCCAAGTATTTTCTTTAGCATTTATATCCAAAAGGCTTATTTCTAATGATAAAGTATATAAAATGTATACAAAATATATAATATATATAATATTTAAAAGTACTAATAATCTATGAATAGCTCGTAGCCTACTCTTCAACAATAGAAAATATTTTATTGAACTTCTAGTTTTTCTAGTCTCATTTATATATATTAAGTTAGAAAATAGAGTATTATTATATGTATAAAAGTTTTTGCTTTTCATCGTCATTTTTGTTTTAGGGATTATTGAAAAGAGTTAGTAAATTTATTATTGTACTAGTATAAAAGTTTTTGCTTTTCATCGTCATTTTTGTTTTAGGGATTATTGAAAAGAGTTAGTAAATTTATTATTGTACTAGTATAAAAGTTTTTGCTTTTCATCGTCATTTTTGTTTTAGGGATTATTGAAAAGAGTTAGTAAATTTATTATTGTAC